TGTCGTTTTTTTATGTATGCATGTATAGTAATGTTCCTACTTCTCCTTCTTGGTTTCAAGTTAGTTTTCCATACCTTTTATTAGCACTTGGCTTCGCTTGTACGTACCAACATACCCCACATTCAATGTGTCCTTCTTCCCATGCTGGCAGGATTTGAAAATCTTTGCCGTTTCGAACAAACTACTTCACGCCATAACAGTCTGCTGCTTGCCACCATAAATTACTTACTCGGCTCATTGTCGCTGGCCTCTTCGGTGTGTGTCTGTGCACTCGATTTTAACATCGATACTGTCGAATGCTTTTGCCGTAACACAGCTTTCACTTTATTCATTTCCTTTCTGGGTGGTTTTTATATACAAAATATTGATTTACAAAAATTTTCTCACTTTTCCCTAAAGTTTAATACGTATGTATATAAGTATTTTGTATTTTTATTGTTATTATTTTTTAGTGGCTTTTCCTGTCGCGACTCTTATTGCCACTATCGTAACAATTGTATCCCTTGTTTTTTTTCTGCAGGCATACCTTATGGGTTTCCTTTTCTGTATTTTTTTTTTGGTTTTGTTGTGGCCATTGCTGTGTCTTGGTTTTGCCTTACTGTCGAGCCAATATTTCTTTTTGGCCATGCAACATTTGGTGTCGCCACCAATGCACGTTGTCTGCATTTTAAGTGCAAAGTATGTTGCAAATTTTTACATGGCTAGTGACTTTCGCCGGTTTGTTGGGTAGTTTGTCTTTTTTATACCAATCGATACATTTTCATCGTTGTAGGTACATTGCTGCTTAGGGACCCAGCATTTGCTAAGCTGTTTGAATAATTTTTGTCTCGCTGGCATAAGTTCGACAATAATATTTCTATTATACATCAATTAAATTTTATTTTAGTTGAAAATCTCTCCATTTTGTTCAGGCAAAGACAAATTGAACAGGTAATAGCCCCACAAATTTTTTACTTTAAACCAGCCAGCTCAAGTGTTTAAACCCCGTCAGATTTTTTTTTTTTAATTAAGAATTTTTAATTGCGTATTGTTTTTATTTTAATTTGTAATGTTTTTTCCAGTTTTAATTTAATTAATTTTAATTTTTAGAAATTTTTTTATTTTTAATTAAATTTGTTTGTCCTTAGTTTAACTCAATTTAAATTTTTACTTTTAAATGTGTTATCAAAAAAATATATTTTTTAATAATTTAATTTTTAGAAATTTATGTATTTTATTTTTTTAATTCAATATTCTTTTAATTCTGCGATTTCGAAGTTTAAAACCTGTTTTATAATTTCACTTAATTCTTAGGAGCTTAGCTTACTTATTTAAACAAT